CATGCATGATACCATGCTGGTGTGAATGGGCATTTACTTCTGCTCCATTTCCCATTATCCAAAAGCTCAAGTACTAAGATCTTATCACCAGAGTCCCCATATAAACATATGAATGAGTTAACTGACTAGATTTATCAGTTGATGGTAGACCATTTGAAGCTTGTTCCATATTTTGCTTTTATTCGGTAACATACTGATGTTCAGTGACAGATCTGTAATGAATTTAGAGATGAGTAAACCCATTGCTCATCTGTAGATGTAACATTCGCTTTCCTTCTATTACAACGGAAGTAACCAACCTTACATTGACTCAAAATATTAGTGTGCCTTCACAGGTTTGTAGATCTGTTTTTGTATAATTGCACTTGATAGCATGATGCCTTAGTTTGTAATAACTAACATCATATTAACTCCTCCATATGTTTATTTGCATAGTTTTATATTGTAATTTCTCATTCATCAGGAAATTGCAGAAACTTCATTGGAGTCTAGATGTGTTTCTTTATTGTTGGGCATATATTGCCCACATAACAAAATATGGCCCATACAGGTTCTGTGATTTACATTGGCAGTTTAAAAGGTAAATTTGGCGGTCAAGTGCATGATATTCCAACATCTCAGGATCACCCATGGAATAACATTGAAGTATCCCAGTGAAGGAAGCCATCCCTATCATTTTAAATCCATTATCAGAGCTGATCAATTTCCGATTACTATGACTGTTGCCCTTTACCTCAGAAGTTAAACAATCTTTCTGCTGTTCACTGCATTTCTACTGAAATCTGGCCAATCTAGATCTCATTCAGTCATGCAGAGTGACCACATTTGTTGTCTCTTGTTTACTTAGTCCAAGTACGGAGAGTAGGTGCAGATGGGCTACAATATGACCTGATAACCCATTTGACTCTATCACTGTCACCAATGACCATGCTATTTACTTCTTGCAGACTTCTACCATAATATAAATGTACATGCTTATTGAGCATATCGTCTTACTATAAGATCACATAACCATTGAAGCAGTTCTAGCACTGTGTGCCCTACAATTGGTCTTTTTTGTGGTTAAAGAATGAATACAGCTCAAGCAAATATATATTTCCCAGCAAAATATTTATTTAAAAACATGACTACATTTTTGGGCAAAATTTTAAACCGCTGCTCCAACTTTCTCAACTCGGCTTCCCTGATCTTCCTGTCCAACACAAGAACCAGAGCAATCTCCAGCAATTGTCCATCAACTAGCTTAGAGAAGGGAGGAGCAGAGGCAGGAGAGTGTCTTACCTTGCTGTGCCTATGTGTTTGTGGAGACACACACACAGCTTACTAGCGCACACACAAGGGTGGCTCCACAGGACCCTGCAAGGGAAAGGAGCCACCCTAAAACAATACCAGGGTCAGTGATCAGGGGACAAGCTGATTCTGCAGGAAACTAATGCTTTTAAACTCTAAGGTGCAGCATCCATTATAAGTGATTTCATTAGCATTTTTAAATGGCTTTTAAAAACGTTTTACTTTTAATATCACTATAGAGTCCAAGTTTTAAACCCTCCGTTTTTTTGCCTATATCTACTGCTAGCGAGCAGTAGATATAGGCAAAACCGTTTTTTTGTTTTTTTTTAAACCCGCTTTAACAGCGGTTTACACTTACCCTGTTTTCGTTGCGCGATCCCGCTCGAGAATCCGAAACTGCTCGGGCGGCCGCAAAGCATCTTGGGGCGGGCGCATGCGCAGTTCGGATTTTCGGCCGGGAGACAAGCAGAGACTCAAGGTAAGTCTATGGACGCGTGCACCCGCATGCAGACACCACTGGATCGGAAGTGCCTGCAAGTAGAGGAGTCAGCGCTGGATCGGAGAGCCGCCGCACCGCTGGAGGGACAGATGAAAACATCAGGAAAGAGGAAGATCGGATTAAGAGACATCATTTAAGGTAAGTGCTGACATTGGGGAGAGGGAATTTTTTTTTTTTTTTATTTTAAAGTGAACCCCCTAAACAAGGGCTAGATATATCCCGGGAGCAAGGTAGCCAATGCTCCTTAAAAATTACAGAGGTGCCTACATTTTCAGGCTTAATCTAGTTGGTATCAATGGAACTGGATCCTCAAAATAATCCTGCTTGCTCCTGGATTGGATAGATTGGCTCTTGAGTGCCAACATAATTTTGTCCACTCCTGCCCTAACCCAACACATTAAAAATAACCCTAAACAGTTTGCTAATCCAGTCCTACTTTACCTTAAGCTCACCATTACAGTCCTAAGAGCTATAACTAGTATAACTGCACAGTACTAAGATGTATGCATTTGTTGTTGTATCTACAGCCTTTGACAAAATCCTGTTTTCCAAACCATGCCCTGGCCATGTGTTTGCATGTGTATTTACTGCAAACAAGCTTCTCTTGGCTACCACTAAAGGAAACTGTTTAGAGGGGAAAGATGTGCTCTGCACTGAGCTGAATTAGCAGCCACTCTCATGGGAGCTGGTTTGATTATTTAGTGAAAGTGCAGTTATACTTTACAGAAAACCCGGTTTGCATGTTCTCCATGTGCTTTCAGGTACTCTGGTTTCCTCCAGCATTCCAAAGACATGCTGGTAGGTTTATTAATCCTAATATGTGCATGTGAAGCAGATACCTTAGATTCTAAGCTCCTCGAGGGGGGGGGACTGGTGTGAATGTACAATGTGTGAAGTGCTGCGTAAATTGCCGGCCCTAAAAACCTGCGATAAATAAATGGAGCAAATGAGAGCTGCTATTTCTGATGTCCCTGTAAAAATGATAGTTGACTAGCTGTTGTTCTAGCTTATGGTACCCTCAACATTTTTTTGCAAATTACAAGTCAGAAAAAGTCTGTGCATACCTTTTATTTCCTGGTGAAGCATTGAAACAAGAGGATCGGGATGACCAGGCACTAGCATTTTCTCTGCAATGGCATCCTCCATTTTTCTCTCATTAGAGTTTTATTTTAACTCCCCAACGCTTGTTTAACCCTTTGATGCCGCAAAGTCTGTTGTTGCCTAAAACTCATATGCTGATGTAACGCTGACATAGTAATGATCCATTAGACGATGGAAGCTCATTCTCAGGTAAGTATTCACCATAAGAAATGTTCTCTAATATCCCTACCAATCATGTACATCTGTATAGCAGCCACCTTAATTGTGTGACATAGGTTGACATGGGTAATATACACTAACTTAATTTCTTTATGTAGACATTCCAGTAAAAATAAATAAGAAAATCAATTTAAACTTTAATATAATCACATCATGTTTTTTCCTGGTTTAGGAACATGATGTTGATCAATTCTAGAACAAAGAACACAGTCATAGCATGCAAATATTTAAAGTATACTATCTACTAGATACTAATATCCTATATTACCATCCATATCCTCTAATTAAATGAAAATGTATGTAAGTACATACTGTATAGTGTTCATTTTCATCTGAATATCTAATATCCAGCATTGCCTTTCCATAACAATAATACTCTGAACTCAAACTTCATGATAATGTATGAGTTGGAGGTTTACTCCATATCTGTTTGTCTTGTGGATTAATATGGTAGAGATAATTTAATGCATACACATCCTGTAGGAGGGAGAGTACACTGAGCTCTATATTGCTAAATGCTTATTACAAGACGTAAAAATGGCAGCTACAGATGAAAGGGAAACTGCATTTCAAGCCAAGGTTTTGGATAATGTGTATCAATATTTTGCAGCATATTGATTACTAACAACTACTTGCATTTTTTTAAAAGCAGTTTTAAACCTCCAACTAAGCCGCTAAGCCATGTTGTGAGATATTTTCAATGAGTTTTCCAGTTGAGTATCTCTCCCCCAGGGTTAATGAATAGAACTTGATTATAATGACAAGTACATCTTTTTATAACTGTTTTAAGCTTCTAACATAAAAGTGTATATCTTAATATTGTTGTAATATAAATGATGTACAGTTGTGTATAAAAAGTTGTAAATAAAATTTTTAATCTTCAAGCACACAATAGTCACATGGCTTCCTTTTTAATTGTAAAATAACCTAGAGCAGTAATTACAGATTTCCAGATTCAACCTTCATTGCCACTTCATGGTGCCTTGATGAGGGAAATACTGTTATTTACTGGGGAGCCTTTGCAACTCCAGGCAATTTTTTTTTTATTAACCCTTGCAGTGGGGCTACCCTCACACTGCAAAGGTTAATTGCTTGTTTTGGTCTAGAGAGGAAAATACTCTCACCCGATCCTCTGAGCCGACTTGCTCTTAGACTGATCCTTCCAGCCTCGCTCCCCCTCCGCTGTAGCTGTCTAAAGTCCCGGAATCATCACTTTCAATACACTGGGTATAGGATGAGAGGACACCGAGGGACATGCCATTGCTGCAGCAGAGGAAGAGACAGGCTGTAGGGAGCATTGTCACAGCCGTCTGGCTTGGATTGGGTGGGTATAACTTTATTTTCCTCCCTAAACCAAGATGAGCAGTTATACCTCACTATGTGAGGGTAGTCCCACTGCAAGAGGTAATAAAGATTTTGCCCGGAGTTCTTCATTAAAAGCAGGTGGGAGATTTCTTTTCAAACCGCCTATATCGTCTTCTGTGGATAAACAGTTCACAAAGGTAAGGACTTATGGGAAAGACTGTTGGGCTGTGTTCACCCAAATGCATGGTTTAATCGAACAAAAAAACAATACTGGACTGTGATACACAATTATTAAACTGTTTTATTGAGAGAATATTTCAACGATATGGCAGTTAGAAACTACATGGAAAAAAGGGTTATTCAAAGTAGATATTTCAGTTTTTGGACGCTGGACAGCTGATCATCACCGGGCTTCTACAATACTTGAGAACTTCATCCTTAAAATATCCCCAGCAATTTCAAAGCTCGGTTAGATCTAGAACTCTGTTTATAATGATCCTGACCAGGAGAGAAATGAAATTTAATATGGCTCAGCTGTAGCTGTGTATTAATGTTATTGTAGGTAGTCAAAGTCATTTTATGGTTGTTAAAGGGGTAGAGGAGATGCCATTTCTGATTCTTCCAGGGACAAGCCTTGACTCCATGCATACAGTTTTTCTGCTTCTTCTTCCCAGTCATCATCAGAAAACACCACTTGGTTAAAGGTATTTTTCCCGTCTGGAAACTGTCTCTGATCGGTGTCTGTCAGATCCTAAACAATTAAAGCTATTGTTATTTTCAGTGTAATAATATAGTGCAGATAACAGAATTATTTCTGCATTGGACGGAATTTACTGTGGTTCATAACATACTACACCCTCTACTTTGGTGGTTGCACCGAAAGTTCGTTCCCGATACCAAGATGCAACTACTACAATTTAATTGATGTTCTTAGTGTTTTAGACAAACAGTGGGGACTGCAACGTCATCTATTGCTTTTTCATTAAATGTATGTATTTAGTCCTTTCAACTTTAACTTTATTTTGAAGTGGAAAGGTACTAAGTACAGAATGTGGGTGAAACTATACCTACCTATGCAAACCCACCATTCAGATCAAGCACAGCGACTGTTCTTTTGGCAATCCTTTTCATTTTTCCCCCCCCCTCTTTATTAATAGCCTAAGCAGTACACAACGGATTTCTGAGATATGGTTAAAGTACAAATTCTGAAGGTAAAAGATCATTAACCACTTGAGGACCTTAGACGTAGGAGACATACCGTTCCTCGCTCACTTTCCCGATCATCTCCCTGCAGAGAGTGGTGACTGTCAGTCACCACTCCCCACAGGGATTCCCCTCATCCAGCGCTGACTGGAGGGAGCGGGAGGTGGCGGCACAGCTGGCTCTGTCTCTAGAGAGGCAGAGCACGCTGTCAATAAGCCAGCTGGGTGGATCTCGACAGTATTGTCGGGATGCTTCCCGGCTGCGGTGCTCTCCGTATATATATATAGCGGGCAATAGCCCGCTATATACTGAGCCTTGGGGGTCGTGGGAGGAGGTTAGTATATGTCCTCCTGTGACCCTAAAGAGAACTATGGGATTAAAGAGATACCCCATAGTTCTCTTTTAAGCTTCCCATTGTTGGGACCTTGCTCAATCAACCCAAAAGTAGAAAGTTAAATTTTCTCCTTTAAGAATCTCTGAAAGCTTTTACTTGGGATATCAAATTACTTCATTTTATTCATATTTGAAGCAACTTGTATGAAATGAAACCTTTTTTTTTTTTACCTGTCCCTCTTTTTCTAGGCCGTAAAGCCTTTTCATTTTTTGCACTTTTAGACGAGCCCTATGTGATCTCCGAGATGTATTTCTGGGGGCCACAGAGTAGTGAGATGATAGGCAAGTAGAGATTGCTGATGAAGGAGGTGGTGCTGGTGATCTGCAGAATAAAGCCGTTTATTTGGTTAGTAAATAATAGAATAAATATATACTTAATGATCAAAAGTATGTGAACGTGTGACCATCCCACCTATATGAGCTTGTTGGACATGCCATTAAAAACCATGAGCATTAATATGGAGTTGCCCCTCCTTCCCCTTTTGTAGTTCTAACAGTTTTTTTTTTTTTTTTTTGTTTTTTTAGTACACCTATCTACAATATTTCGGAGTGTGTCTGTGGGAATCTGTGCCCATTGAGCCAAAACTAGCATTTGTGAGGTCAGATAGGAGCAGAGAGTGGAAGATGGAGCAACCACATGATTCAACACTTCCAGGGAAAGGCAGACCTCAGTGTAAATTAAATTGAGGAACATTTAAAGAAGGTGTGGGGACAGGATCTCTGTATTCTAACACTAGTCATGTTCACAGTTTTGTTTAACAAATCCACTTTTTACAAGTATAACATGAACAAGAGAGACTATGAATTGGCATTACACAATATTTGCATTCTCTAAAGCTGCCATGATAGACACTGACTTTAAATGATTTAATATGTCTCAGAAATATTACATAGAAAGGTTGTGACAACCTGTATTGTGCGACAGCACTGAGCTGTGTCTGCTGTATGACCTCATTTCCAGGGATCTGAAGAAGCAACTTGATTTCATCTTTAAGTCTGTCTGAAAGGGTCCCGGACTCGGCATAATTTACTATGTCATACATAATTGTTGTCCTAGGCATGTTTTTCAGTGACAGTCTTCTCCAGTAATTATCCCGGCCTCCAAGGTGTGCTGGTGTCTCATCAAGGTGGCTTATGTACTAAAGACATGAATTAAATATGTCAATAATATTAAATCATTCCATTGGGTGAATCTGCAACTAGTTGTGATTTTTGTTGTTGTAATCACCAGAAATATTAATTTCCAGTGATTACATTTCTGTTAACCAACTGCCTCCTGGGGAGTATTGCACAGAGCTTGAGGTCAGTGTAGGGGCAGACTGTTCAATGGAATATGGCCAAATGTACTCTTGTGACCCAAAAGAGAAGTGTAAGATTTAGCTTTACTCTTTCAAAGGCAAAGTCCACTTTTTCAGAAAGAAATTATACATTTACACTTCTTCATAAAATAAAAAAATGTGCATTAATTTTTATATTGTGGATCTGGAGTACGAAGGTCCGGTTTAAAATACATTTAGCCTCCCAGTACTCAAAATATAAAACAAAGTTTATAGCTCCATGGAGAACTCTGCATGGCTAGAGCTGAATTTTAAATGTAGCTCACTGTACTAGTGACATTCACTGGCTGTCACAATTGCCATGTGGACCTCTGCCATATTATGAGTATGGCAAACATGACCAACCAATGTTCTGTAAATGTAAGTGCTCGGCAGAGCAATGTACTATACTGTAGAACACCTTCCTGTTTTAGAAACTGTATAGAAATAAAAAGATGGCCAATCGTTGAAATAAAGCATACAAGTATACATCTAAATTTAATCAGCAGATGTGATGTTTCATGATTTTTTTTATTTTATGGGCTGCAAAGAGGGATTCACACTTCAAATGTCAACACGTTTCAGATTATCTTTACCGAAAATATTTATAGACACTTTGATTTATTTTATGCTTACTTGCATGTAATCTTTAACTGTGGCCACATCTACAGTATCTGTGATTTTGTATGTCTGATGTTCAAGCTGATCATAAATCACTTGATCGTAGTATGTTCGATGCCCCATCAGCTTACAAGCGTCCATTGCAGCCTGCAAAACAGTAATAAGAGCAATTGATTGGAACATAGATGTAGCCTTTCCATCTATTTGTTGATATTGTACATCATGAGCAGCACTATTCAAACGTTACTCCCTGTTTGTGTCCCCAGAGAGAATATTTATTTTCTCTTCCTGTATATGTATATATATATATATATATATATATATATATATATAAACACCACAATACATGCATTTATCATAACAATATTGAAATCACACACACACACACACACACACACACATGCCTACCTTATTACACTTTACAAGAAGTGTGTTCATCATAACAATATCGTAAAAGTAGTAATAATAAATATATAAATAGAGTCTAGTTTATTACACTTCACAGTTTATCATAATATTAAAGTAATAAAATAACTAGAATACATGTTCTAGTTATGTATTAAAAGAATCCATTATAAAGTGATCACCTCACTTGAAGGACTAATCACTCTCTTTCCACTGATGTATCGGCTTCTATGGTTGCCTGAGCGATGAAAAATCTTAAAGACTATGACTGGTGGGAACTCATAACCTGCAAATCTGTAAAAGAAAATGTGAATTAAGAATACATTCTGATAAGCAAATCTCTCGGGTGTATTGCTAAACGCCGCAGACCAACCTTTACCTGAATCTTACTTTACACTGCATTCCTGGATCTTTCAGCAGTTCTGCCTCCACTGGGCTGACTTTCTTCAGAATTCCATATGCAGCACATGTTTCCTACAAATGGTTTGAAGAAAAATCGCAGTGTTCTATAATATAGAGTAGTGTTTCCCAAAACTAAGCATCAAGCCCACCAACTGCTCATGTTTTCATGTCATAGTTGTAGTGCTAGGGAGTGTTATAACATACAGCTATCTCCAAAGAATACACATGTTCACAAATAAAAAAAAATTAGTTATTTAGTGATTTAGGAGATGTTTACCCATTTAAAGAGGGGGAAAAATAGGGAAACAAATATGATCTATACATAGTATTATTCTATAGGATTTATATACCGCCAACAGTTTGTGCAGCTCTTTACAATATAAGGAAGACATTACAATCACAATACAATTCAAGACAAGAGGGTAAGGAGGGCCCTGCCCCTGAGGGCTTACAATCTAAAAGGGAGGGGGAAGTGATAACATGAGGAGGTAGCTGTGTGGGGATGAATTGTTTGAGAACATGATGGTTCAGTGGTTAGGTTGAGGTGGGATAGGCTTCCATGAAGAGATGAGTCTTAAGGGATCGCCTAAAGGCAGTCAAGGTGGGAGATAGACATACATATAGAGATACATATGCACATAGCCAAACAAAATTTTCTAAAGAAAGGTACAGTTTAATTATCTAACAATATTCATCTACCAACTCAATAAAAGATTACTTAAAGGTCCTTTTTTAAATCCCCCCTTCCCGACTTCATTTATTCCTATGGGTGTGCTGTACTCATGGCGGCCTCCAGCAGTCCCTACACGTCTGCTTACTGATAAGGAATGAATAGGGACATGGCACACATGCGCAAATATGAAGAGGAACTGGCTGAGACCATGTCGGAGAAGAGATCGCTGGATCAGGGAGGAAGGAAAGAATTCGACAAGACTGCCTGCAATCAGGGGTGGCGGAATTTTGTAAATTACATCTTAACTAAAAGTAAAGTGGCCCTTTAAAGTGCACCTCTGGCCAAACTATAGACACATTTTTTACAAACAGTAAAAGAACTTTAATACAAGCCCTTATTGACCTCTCTAGCTGCAGCTGCTGTGAACTTAATCTTCAAATTCCACAACAGAGGCACTGAAATTAGCTCATCTCTTATTTCCTCATCCCGTTAGGCTGTGGTTTCATAATTCATACTTACAGCGGCCCGGATGGCATGCTTAAGTAGCTTAAAGAGTTTTCTGTTGTGGTGACATTTCCATGCTCTCTGAATACAGATGGCCGCAACTCCCACATCCATCCTAGGCAAAAACATTGATCTTAGAGGAGCAACTTGCATTTCATCTTACGATAGATGAACTCTTAGGGGGTCTATTTAGAATTTTTTCACATGGAATTCCAACTTTCACCCAGGAGTCACTTTGTTTCTAAATTAATTCAAGTGAGAAAAAGTGTGAATCCTAGGTGAAAGTTGTGTGAATATTGTTTGAAAAAATTCATAACTAGACCGCTTAGTATTAATCCCTATTATGAGTTTAAATCTGTAGAGCAATCAAATCAGTTTAGAGCAGAGGCAGCCAAACTTTGTGCCTTCAGCTGTGGTGAAACAACAAATACCACCATGCATATGCCTCTCGAAATCATGCCTGTGACTGTCACAGTCTTGCAATGCCTCATGGGACTTGTAGTTTTACAACAGCTGGAGTGCCAAAGTTTGGATACACCTGGCTTAGTGCATTGTGTAATCTCTGGTGAAGATACAAAAAAAAAAAAAAAAAACAATGTTTAAGGAGAGCTCCTGAAGGCCGGTGCACACCTATGCGACACCCCACTGTGCAGCAATCCTGCACGATTGCTGCGCAGTCAGGAGTCGTATAGGTGTGTACCGATCTTGCTGTGGGTGTCATTATTTTCCAATGACACCCCAGTCGTGCCGGGCGGATTGCGTGCATGGGTGGAATTAATAAATACGTTTTTTGTTTTTGGACAGCCTGCTTTAAATAAGGTCCGTTATGTACTATATCACCTATTATACCTGCAGTGATGCCATATTTCCTTTGTTGTGTCCTAGCTATCACCCAGCTTGAAGCAGGTTGATACAGCTTAGGAGATACGATACAGGTCAGAAGGAGGTCAGCTGCAGGTTAATGCACTGTGAATGATCTTGAAAGCATCTCAAACACATGCCAGCAAAAGAATCACTAACAGACCACTTACCTTGTGCCATGGAGTTGCTCCTTTGCTGACTGGACCAGAAAGGTACTGCTCCCTACATAGCAATAAGATTCATAACTGTTTTATTTAAGGACAACAAGATATCCAGGAACTACAGCAGGAAGATCTTACCACTGGACTGTCCAAGAGATATACTGTAAGCCTAGGGCTACACTGGAGGTTAAATCCCTTTGCTACTTAGAGGTTTAACGTTTTGTTAGCATAACTTCATGTGCAGCATGCTGAAATAAATGTGCTGCTAATTGATGATGGGCAGTAGACGTTAAAAGATAAGTAAAGCCAAACCTTTTTGGGGCTGGGGCGGGGTGTCCTAATGTCCTACTGTGACCCAAACTCAGCATTTAGAAGGCTATTGCCTGCTCATATGCTGACAGTGCAGAGCCGCACTGCAACCAGATCCTGACAATATTGTCGGGATCCACCCTGCTGCCTGATTGACAGATGGTTCTGCCTCTCTAGATCCATGGCCCCGCCCCTTCCTCTGCCTGTCCCTCTAATGAGCACTGGAGAAACAGGAGTGGTGACTGACAGTCACCGCTCTCTGCAGGGAGAATACATTAGCTAAGTGTTCAGTGGTTCGTGATCGCTCAGCCTTCGATTTATAGAGCTGGCGTGACAGCTGCAGTGTCCCACTCCAGTTCTATGTATTGGAAAGACTATATTTTACTCTCCTAATAGTTCTCCTTTAAATGCAGTGCTAAAAAAGATTTAATCACCAGTGTATGCCTCAGCCAAGAATTAAAAAACTAACCTATTTATAATACAATAAAATATATTAAACCAGATTGTTATGTTTTTTTTGCTTGTATCATATACCTAAATACACTAATCAAATATGACATGGTGGCTGTTGTAAAAGAAATAGTAAAATGTAAGGAAAAGAAAATCATTTAGGTAAGTGGTATGCAGAGTTGTTCCTGTTCAGTAAGCACTTCCAGACTTATCCATACTGTTTGTATTATGTAATATAGTGCTTATGTGATGTATACTAAAACATACTTCTAAAACTTACTTTGCCATCTCTGGTTGCTTAGTTTTATTATGATTTCTTGTTACTGGTAGAAATTCTTTAGAGGCACTTGTAGGAAGACTGATAGAGATGGATGTACCTGATAAACCAGATGAATTCATGATTCTGAAACAAAAATGTAAAAACACTGCAACGTCAGTTCAGATAATAATACCATTGGTACAATAAATGCTTTCAGGATGCAGACTATGCACAAGGACGTTTGGGAAGCACGTTCAATTGTTCAGAGGCAATGGCCACTCTTTTACTCTAGGTCACATAGAAGTCCTGAGACACATATCACTTGCAGTGAAACTGAATAAGTTCACTTCAATATCCGTAAACTAAATAAAACAGCCCAAGATCCAGAGATCGTCCTCTAATGCTGGAGTATAGATGCTACAATTCAGACAGATATCAACAGACCTGACAGAGCCCCTTCACATCATTCACTCATGGAATAAAGTCAAGGCAATGAAGAAACTTGTCACCGGGCATCCTACCCTGCCCCCCTTGTCACATCACCATTGCCACCACAGCCTTGCAGGGGATGATTACCTTAAAGGATATTTATGATCAAAAACTACATAATAAATCTGTATCTCTATACTGAATTTCCATAAGTTCCATCCCACTCCTAATAACCATATTGATGTAGAAGCTTGTACACTTGTGTCACAACTCTAACTAAGCCTGCTGTCTGAACTACAGCTCAACGTCTGAACAATGTAAATCATCATTGCCTGCTGGAAGCAATGCATTACGGGCTATGAAGTCTTGAGAAATGGAGATTGCATCACATCAAGCAGCAGGAAAAGAGATAAAAAAGCACACTGGGAATCCAGGAAGTTAAAAATAACAATTTTAAAAATTAAAATTAAATAAAAATTAGAAATAATAAAAAATAAATAAATTGTAAAAAAAATAGTAAATAGTAAATACAAAAATAGTTTAAAAAAATCCTGCAGGCAGGGCGCTGGGTGATGTCACACTCCTAACTCTCCCTGTGTGCAACGTCGGCCACACGAGCACCGCGGGAGGACAGGATGCCGGTGCCTCTGGAATGCAAGGCGGCCAACTCCCTGCGTTCAGGGGCAGGAGGGTGCATGGGGTTGTATTGAAGTCAATGGCACCGCAGCCATGCCCCCCGCCCACAGTGCGATCGCCTGCCTGCATTCCGGTTCAGTGCAATCTGCACAAATAGTGCTTGCAGCATTTTTGCGGATCGCACTGGACCGGAACACAAGCACTAATGTGCCTGAGTTCCGGGTGGGGGCGATCGCACTGCGGGTAGTGGCTTTCCTTGTTCTGGGTATTTGTGGAGACACACACACAGCTTACTAGAACACACAAGGATAGGGCCCCACAGAGGAAAGGAGCCACCCTAAAACAGGATATCAGGGCTGGTGCTCAGTGGAGCAGCTGATTCTGAAATAAACTAAAATTGTTAAACATCAAAAAGCAGAATCCATCGTAAATGATTTAATCAGCATTTAATACGTCTTTAAAACCTTTAAACTTTAAAATCACTTTAAAGTTTAAAGTCTGTTGAGCCTGGTGGTGGTGACAGGGCCTACCGCGGTTGCATTTCTAGGTGTATAACCGGCTTTAGCTGCCCACCAGTGGCGGAACTAGTGGGGTCCGGTCCTGGGCACCCCCACAGCCTCAGTGGGGTCCGGTCCTGCAATATGGGGCAGTGCAGGGTCCCGGTGTAACAACACCGGGGCCTCGCACTGCCGACGGGCTTCTCAGTGAGGGGGCAGGTCCTGTGACTCACCTCCCCTCCCGGCTGCGTCTATAGTAACAGGCAGCGGGAGGGAAGGTGAGTCACAGGAGAGGTGTGTGTGTGTCACACGCCCCGCCCCGCCCCCCTGCAGTGCACACATCGGACCTCCGCTGTTCCTAGTGCAGATCGGCATCGCAAATCGCATGTGCAGGAGAACTGATCTGCCCTGGAACAGCTGATCGGTCCTGGAATGTCACTTCTCTCCGACTGTGATCTCACATTCCACCGCACTCACAAAGTCGGATAGAAGTGACATTTCAGGACCGATCAGCTGTTCCAGGGCAGATCAGTTCTCCTGCACATGCGATTTGCGATGCCGATCTGCACTAGGAACAGCGGAGGAAGCATTGGAATGCTTCACCTATTCCACCACCGAAAAACTGGGCGAGATTATGTTAAAATGTGTGACCACGTCACTGGTCACACATTCTAACGTAGTCACAACCTTTGATAGAACACCGCCATCAGGGGGGTATGGCCGGTACGCATGTGAGGGGTCTGGGCAGCCTGGGGGGCCTCTTACATGGGTATCAACTGTACCGGAGCGGCATGACAAAGGTGAGAGGGGAGGGGGTGGAGGAGGCCGGGCCCCAGCAGCAGCAGGTAAGAAGAGTTGGGAGGAGGTACAGGGAAAGCGATCCCGACAACCATGCCAGCCCACCTGGGACCCTGGAGAGCCCACCATAGAGAGTCTCAGGTGGGCTATGCAGGATCTATGGTGTGCTCTGCAGGGTCTCAGGTAAGTCCAGCACGCTACTGGACAGCTGGGGGAGAGGGGGGCAGTGTGAACCGCTCTCCTACCCCCCCCCCCCCAGTCTTGGGAGGGGGGCCCAAAATAAAATCTTGCTCCAGGGCCCTTTGGTTATTTGGTCCGCCACTGCTGCCCACAATGTCGTTATTGGGTCTGACACCAGCCAACACTGGGTAGTTTAATGGCAGCTGCAATGGAAGTGTGGTGGAAGATCACTGGAAAGAAGGTGATTATCAGTACCTGGGGGAGCAGGAAGTCTCCCTTGTAATCATCCCTTTTTAGATAATGAAGATAATGACAATAATCCTGATTTAATTAATCTTCTTAATATCCATTCAAGGTATATAACTGATCTAATTATTACAGGATTACTATGCCTCATCCCACTTTAAAGATCTCGCGTCCGTAGTTACCATGGCAACGAGTACCAACTAGCCAGAGATCGCGGCTTCTGCATCGAGATTACTGACTAGCCTTTTATTAACCTGCCGTCTCCAAAGCTCATTAGCGGTGTTTTATACTCTTTCACCTTACCAAGTCAGCCCACCCTGTAGCTCCGTCTTCACCCTCGAAGCGCCTCTTTGGAAGTTTGTCACATGCGAGCCTCCGTGATTGTAGTGTGGCGCTCCTGGGAAGACGCGTTGCTAGGGGCGCTGCTGTTGCTAAGGTAAATGCGGCCTAGTTTCCTCCTGCAGCCCGGTCTCACCTCCGCTGTCATGTTGAAGGTGAGGAATGAAAGCTTGGAAATAGATGATAGTCTGAGCACAGCATTTAGCGTGCTGCCGGTTCTTTATATATTATATCCTGGCGGTTGTGTAACCGAGTATCCGCGCAGGGTGAGGAGAGGGATCAGCGTGGAATACTCACGTGGGTCAGTGTGACCTGTGTGTACCAGGCAGGGGACTTACAGCTGCAGGTCTGGTCATTGGTGTCCAACAGCAGCTAAGGAAATATAAGTTTATTTAAATAATTCTCCAATTAAAGCATCTCATTGTATGCAAAAACATTTAATATGTTCTAACGGAGAGCATATTACAGCAGTAAATACAGCCTGCTAACCCTTTTTTCTCAGGTACTGAAGTTTAGTGAGAAGCTTGTATTGGGTGTAAAGCTTCATTCACATAAACCATTTGCGCTTCCCGTGCGGATAACTACAGTGCTGTAAACGCTAAAAATCTTTAATCCGCATGGATTTTGCTCATTTTACCATAGCTGTGAATGTGCAGAATCCATCAAAAATTGCGCTTGGACTATTTTACGGGCCGCGCGGTTTCGTACCACGCGCCCATCACAAAAGTATGAACAATGCACATTCAAATGCATTTTTTTATGTTTAGAGCGGCTCTCTGCGTATTTGTACGGACGAATATGCGCGGACAACCACTCCTGTGCAAATGGATCTTCCTAAAACAGAAGTCTTAGGCCTCATTCACATGGGGCGTGTTGCCTCATAATGCATGAAGCTGTGGAAAGAAGCATGCGGGCAGCTCATGCAACTATAGAGAATCAGAGGCTATGCACCCACACACACTGCTTCCCGCATCTCATCAGCTCTCAAATGGTGTACGGCCTCAGACGCAAACCTGATGGATCCAGGATCATACACCATCTGTGTGTGGCTGTCAAAACCTAGAGCTGTGCATAGCTCCTGAGTCTCTTTAGAGTTATATGAGCTGTCCACATGTTTCTGGGTGCTTAAAAAAAACGCCCCTCGTGAATGAATACACTTTAGTATTTCCACTTTTGCAGCCAAATTACGATAACACTTACCGTACTTTGTTACTATTACTATTCCCAGTAAAGGCAAAACACAGGTTCACTTTAAGGCCCATCTTGGGCCAATCCAAACAATTAATCCGCAGTGGGGCTACCCCTACCCTGCAAGGGTTAAGTGCTCATTTATGCCAAGGGGACTAGAAAAAGTTATTTTACTTATCTGATTTGTGCTGCTAGACTGGTTGCCGCATACTCCTCTTCCCTTCACTCTGGCAGTCTAAGAACCACTTATGTCATCATATTTAATGCAAGTTCCATAGACTTGCATTACACCTGAGGACCCGGAAGGAAGTTCCACCAGTTGGAGGGAAAAGAGGTGAGCACTGACCACCAGGGAAGCGGGGATGAGGTAAGTAAAAGTTCTTTACTTGGGTTCCCTAGGCATAAATATGCACTTAACCCTTGCAAGTGCAGGGGTAGCCATTCCCCTTCCTCTTCCTTGTTAATTGGGGTGGTAAGACAAATGTCTGCCCTGTGTAGGCTCTAAGTAAAGCAACTTCTTTACTCACTTTTGGATTGAGAGGAGAGTGAAAAGAAGTTAGTATGTGCCGCTGGAAAGGGAGGCTTTATTGTACACCTGTTGCATGTATCGTCTTAATTTTTACTGCTAATAATTTTGACATTTTTCAGTGTAGAGATGTGAGATAATAAATACAATTTAGTTCTGTTTTAGTGGAAGGACTGCTTTAACAGTCCCTTAGGGAGGATCAGTGGCGGACCTAAGGAACAAAGGGCCCTGGTGCAAGATTTTTTTTTGCCCCCCCCAAAAAAAAAAAAAAACACAAACACAGTGCTCTCCCCCCGCAGCGCTCGGCCGGCTGTCACTTTCTCTCCTCCTCTCTGGGACACAGAGCAGTGCCCAGCGGGGAGGAAAGAAAGCAGGGAAGCACCGCTGTATCAGAAGAAAAATGGCACTTTCGGCATTTAGCCAAAAGTGCCATTTCCGGCCGATATCTTTTGGCGGCCGATATAACGTGTTTCCCCGTGTTTTGTTTTTTTTTCACGAAAAAAGACACTAGGTCTTATTTTCGGGGGATGTCTTACCTGGCTGCAGCTGTCCGCTCTGCCGTCCAGGGAGCCACAAACAGGTGGGCGGGCATGCGTGCGGGCAGGGGGCGTGTCTGGCAGGGGTGCGGGAGGGAGCTGCCTCTCCGCTCTGATGCCCTCCAGGGAGCAACAGATACCGTGTTTCCCCGAAAGTAAGACCTACCCCGAAAATAAGACCTATCGCTATCTTCAGGGATTTCTGTAATATAAGACCTACCACCGAAAATAAGACCTAGTTCGGCGGTAGGGGGCGCACATGTACATGCATCCAAGCAGCCAGCAAGGGGTCTGTTGGAGTGTAGCAAGGAGTGTAAAAATCAATGATACCGGTATGTGCAGCTTGTCTCCTGTCTGCAAGATCGCAAAAAACTTTCTGGCCGCCGAAGCTCCTTCCCTCTCTCACCCCCTCCTGTCGGCCCGTCGGTATGTGCAGCTTGTCTCCTGTCTGCAAGATCTCAATAAACTTTCTGGCCGCCGCAGCTCCTTCATTCTCCCATCCCCTCCTGTCAGCCCGTCGGTCCTTGGCTTTTAGGAAATTAGAGCTGCCGCTGGAAAACTACGTTTCCCAGCAGGCACAGCGGCATGGTCAGTGAGGTCAAAGCTGAGGTGATCTGATTGGCTCCCTGGACGGCATTACAGAGCTCCAGACAGCTGCAGCCAGGTACCGTACTGTGACAGTCACAGTACCATTCTTTCACTCCAATTCTCAGTACATTACATACCGGTATCTCCGCTCTGTGTGACAGCAGTGTGCCTCATCATATTTTATCATCTTCAATTAATTAGAGATGTTTTATAAAACAGCTTTATCTCTACCATATTATTTAAATTATGGTTAAAAAAAAAGTAGGTGAGGGGATCCTCAATGGGGAAAGTATGCAGCATATTATGTCTCCATTGAGCATCCCCATACTTTTTTTTTAACTATAATTTAAATAATAGAGATAAAACTGTTTTATAAAACATCTCTAATTAATTGATGATGATAAAATATGCTGTGGAGGCTGAGGCACACTGCTGTCACACAGAGCAGAGATACCGGTATGCAATGTACTGTATCATACAGTACTGGAGAAGGGGGAAAAAATAAGACATCCCCTGAAAATAAGACCTAGTGTGTTTTTTGGGGGGGGGGAAAAAAATATAAGACAGTGTCTTATTTTCGGGGAAACACGGTAGGTTGGCGTGCGGGTAGGTGGGCAAGCGAGGGGGCGGGAGGGAGCTGCGGCCGGTCTTCACATGTAAAATTTAGTTACATGTGCAGCTACCCCGAAGGTAAGACCTAGCGCTATCTTCAGGGATGTCTGTAATATAAGACCTACCCCGAACTAGGTCTTATTTTCGGGGTAGGTCTTATATTACAGAAATCCCCGAAGATAGCGCTAGGTCTTATTTTCGGGGTAGGTCTTACTTTCGGGGAAACACGGTATCGATGCATCCCTAATATTTATAGCAATGCAGAACGGCAAAGGCTATAGGAGACGACACATCCCAGCAATACTTTATATAACAATATAATTTCTGTATAAAGTACTGCTGAGATTTGTAGTCCTCTATAGAGGGTGCCATTGTGCATTGCTGCAACAGTACTTTACACAACATTAGGCTACAAATAATAATTATTTTAATGAATTATTTACCCCCCCTTACCTCTTCTGGCCGGTCTTCTGTCTTCACCTGTTTCCTATGTGTTTTCTGTTTGCTGGGTCCTCACTGCCGTCCGAGGCCCCATGATGTGCCTGCAGGGCTGTCTTCAGTGCCTCCCTTTTCCGCGGCTCCTTCCTCACAGGGCAGGAGGGCCCCATACTATCTCAGCCGGCGGACAAGCTAACGATCAGTATCTGGCGGCCGGCGGGCCCCCCATCTCTACGCCGGGAGTGTCGGATGAACGGATGATCTGACACTCAGCACAGAGATGGGGGGCTCGCTGGCTGCTGGATACCGATCCTGTTCACTTCATGAATTTCCTGTGTGGAAATTCATGAAGTGTCACCCATGACATTTCAATAAAGTTCTAACATGAAGAAAAATGAAATTAGTACATCAGCATTGTACTGGTCAGTGCATACCTGCGGATGACTGGTGTGAATGGGCCCTTAACTGTTGTGTTACTTTTCCCACTGTGAACACAGACTGGGATGAAAACCTGATATACAGTCATGGCCAACAATATTGGCACCCCTGCATTTCTGTCAGATAATGCACCACTTCGCTCAGAAAATTGTTGCAGATATTCTCATGTTGATTTCTTTTGTTTGTATTGGTATGACATAAAAAAGTGGCGGAAAAAAAAAAGCCAAATCTGACACATTCCACGTAAAACTCCAAAAATGGACTGGACAAAATGATTTGCACCTTCTCCAAATTGCAAGAAATAATTGCATTCCAAGTTTTTGTGGAAAAGCATGGACAATCTCAAGGTTACACGTACATCTCCAGAGATCTTAATGTTCCTGTGTCAACTGTGCGCATCATTGTCAAGAAGTTTACAGCCCATGGCACTGTAGCCAATCTCCCTGGACATGGACGAAAGAGATCAATTGATCAAAGATTGCAATAAAGGATTGTTCGATTTGTGGATAAAGACCCTCCATCAACTTCCAGACAAATTCAAGCTGACCTTCAGGCACAGGGTACAACTGTGTCAGCTCGCACTATACGTCACCATAAGAATGAAAAGGGACGCTATGGTAGGAGACCCAGGAGGACCCCACTGCTGACACAGAAACATTAAAAAGCCAGATTGGAGTTTGCCAAAACTTACCCGAGGAAGCCAAAAATCCTTTTGGGAGAATGTGCTGTGGACAGATGCAACAAAATAACAGCTTTTTGGTAAAGCCCATCATTCTACTGTTTTCAGAAAAATAATTTTTGCCCATGACTGTAGGTTTACCGTTGTAAT